CTCCCCCTGCCGGGCTCTGGGCCTCAGTTTCCCCATTTTGAGAATGGGCGTCAGAATGGCTTCTTCCGGCCTCCCTCGGAGCACTGGAGCCGGGGAGACGGGAGGGAGGGCACGTGTGGAGGAGAAAGCTCAAGGTCAGATCGCAGAGAGGGAGGGCCCAGCACCCCTGGGCCGGCCCCGGGACGAGAGAGGGGCTCCAGGAGTTTTCTGGGGCTGAGCCTAGATCCGGAGCTCTGAGGTGGGTGTCGGGGGGCTTGGGGTGAGCGTTGTGGCCCGGCGGGTGCTCACGTGGCGGCCCTTGCACAACGCGGAGCGCGCCCTGGCCCCGACCCCGCCCCCGCGGTCGGGCTCACACTCGGGGTGCTGGGAAATGGAGCGAGAGGTGGTTTCCAGCAGTAGTGCGGGCCCAGTAGGCCTCGGGCCCGGCCACCTGGTGGACCCCAGAATGCCCCTCCTGCGAGTTGGGGCACATTCAGAGGCAGTGTGCCCGGAACCTTGCCCTGCCACCGTCCTTGGGAGTCACACTCAGCACCTGCCCAAACTCTTTGGGTCTTTTATAAAGCAAAGTAAGAAACAGTCATCAGGGTAACTTTAGAGGGAAAGCCCTAGTGCAGCCTTCAGCCCGGCCTCACATTGACAGCAGAGGTCAGTTCGTGTTGACTGGCCTGTTTCTCAGGGAGCCCTTGGTATTTCTTTTTCAGTCTCAGTTTCTTCTGGAAAATAGGGACACCCTTCCTGCTTCCATTTGGTTCAAGGGTGGGTCTTGCAGCTTCGAGGCTAGAGGTTGGCTGGAATGGGGCTTCAGCCTTCCCTCCCCACACCCTCATGGCTCTCCCTGGGCCTCAGTTTCCCAACCCCGAATCGAGGAGCCTTAGACCCACTCTCTTGTCCCTGAATTTCTGATGCTTTGGGCCCAGCTGTGGGAGCAGTGCCAGCTGTGTCCACAGAAGTAGGCCAAGATAGCATTGTCATCTCTTCTGACAGATTAGGAAACCAAGGCCACCTCCTCCAGCCTTGGGTTCAGGAAATGGCTCCCAGAAATGATAGAGCTGCCACCTACGCGGGTTGGCAATAATGGGAATGGAATGTCCACGTGCTTCTTCCTTAGCCTCCTTGGCCGCTGTGGGGGTGGGTGGGTGCTGAGAGACATCCACCTTCACCTGTCTCTCCAGTGACCACCCACTTTTGTCCCTCTTCTCCCCCAACAGCTGAAGGCAGATGTCGTCCCAAAGACAGCTGGTAAGACAGGGCGTGGGGCCTTGTGAGATGGGAAGGGGGCCAGGCAGGGCAAGGTGGGTGGCGTAGTGAGAAGAATTGGGGCTCAGAGACCCCGGACGAATGGGAGCTCCATGTGTGGCTCAGCCACTGGGTGCCCTGGGGCAGCTCTTCCCATCCCTCTCTGGGCCTCAACGTTGGCTCTGCCCTCCTCTCTCATAGTAGCTGGGAGCCTCAGAGCCGGTGGAAGGCACACGTAAATTTCCCAGAGACTTCCCCACTCCTGGTCCCCAATGAGGCAGGGTGGTGCGCACATAGCCCTTGAGTCGCTGCCCTGCTGGTGCCAGCACAGCCATGAGCCTGTACTGTTGTCACAGTGCTCAGGTACTGAGGTCAGGGAAGGGGAGTGACTTGTCCAGTTACATAGCGAGTTGGGCAGAGCAGACCCAAGAGGTGCCAAGGTCTTTATCCCCCTGTTCACTGCTGGGGATGTAGCGGGGATTTTGGCTGGAATGGGTATGACCCGGGAATTGGGGCCTGGCCGTGTTAACTTGTGTCTCCCTTTGACCCTCAGAGAACTTCAGAGCCCTGTGCACTGGTGAGAAGGGCTTTGGCTACAAAGGCTCCACCTTCCACAGGGTGATCCCTTCCTTCATGTGCCAGGTAACGTGGTTTCCTTTTCTGTAAGGGGGGATGAGAGCAGGAGCTGCCTTGTGGGTGTGTGAAGATGCCTGGTATGAGGAAGGTGTTGAGGAGGGCAGTTGCAGTTGCTCTGTTGGTCAGGCTGCCCCCGCTGCATTAGCCCTGTATCCAGGCTTCACTGCATATGGAAGTCCAGCCCCAACCCATTGCCACTCCAGGCCAGTGGCAGGCCCTGCCCAGGGGACTGGGAGGTGGAGTCTATCAAGGCAGAGCTGGGTTGGGGGATGGATGTGCTGGGGGTGGCCCTGAAGGCTTTGAAGAACCAGCATATTCCAGTGGTCTCTGACCTTGTCCCCTGCATGCCCCTGAGCACTGGTGTGGGAGATAAGAGGGGGAGAGGGAGAAGCGGCGGAGGTGGAGGAGGAAGATGGGTCCAGGGCAGGAACACACATGCCAGGACTTGGAGCTTCCCTTCCCAGAGAAAGGCATTATTCTCGGTGAAATGAATGTTTTTCAGTCATGTGCCACGCTCGGTTTTCACAAGCATTGGTATTGCTGTGTCAGAGGTTTGGGGGTAGGTGTTGCAGCAGGAGCTTCCCGGGGGTCAGGACCCAGGTGGTATTGGGGCTGGTCCTCTATTAGCACAGATCTTCAAGATCAGGGATTGGGTATCCTAGGCAGGCAGAGCCTGGAGGCAGGGACATGGCTGTCATGACCTCTTTTAAGACCTTTCTGCCTGAAATTCTCTCCCCATTCCCTCTACCCTGACCCAGTGACTGTCATCGTATCATGGTAAGGGGCGGTGGGTTGGGGCTGGACGTCTGTGTGCGGTGAGGTCTGGATATGGGGTGAACACAGGGACGGCAGGCCTGGCCCAGCCCTGAGGCTGATGGTAAAGCAGGAGCTGAGGTGGAAGTCCTGAGCCAGGCTGGGGACTCCAGAGCTGGAGGGCTCCCTGGCACAAGGCGGTGGCACTGGGAGTCCAGGCCAGGGTCCTGAGTTATCCGTTGGGAGGGATATCAATTAGCGAGCACCTAATTGACACCTGCAGATGCTTCAGCTGGTCAGTTCCCTCTCTCACCCAAGGATCCCATCTCAGGAAAACAGCAGCCAGCCATGGCCTGGGCTGGGCAGCACTAGGCATAGGGGCTGCTACCGGGCTCTTCTGGCCATGGGTGCCCCATGCAGGTTTGGCCAGGGCTGCCCGGGCCTTAGCTGAGGCCTGAGAAAGGATGCCAGCCCTGGGCAGACTCTGTCCTGGGTCTGCAAGGGTTGGGGAAGCTGCTGGGCTGGGTAAGGGGCAGTGCGGGGACAGTGAGGGGACCTGGCATGGGGAGCTGGTCTGGACCAGCTGCTGGTGCTCCCACAGACTAGACACGGGAACTGGGGGGCCTCTGGCCTCTTCCTTGTTGCCCTCCAGGAGGAGTGGGTTAAATTCTGGGTCACTAAGTATCATCTCTGAATGGCCATTAGGTCCTTTGAAGATTACCTAAAAATTTGTTCAGACAAAAAGTAAGTCATTTGGAAACAAAGGTAGTTACTGTGACAAAAGATATTTAAGTTTAGTCTTTTTTTTTTTCTTTTTTTGCTTATTTTTCTTATTATTAGCTCTAATTTTATTGGATGTTTATTGACCGCTTTACCTGAGGGGCACCAACTGGGTGGGCTTGGGTGGGCTGAGGCCGCTGCCAGTGTCGGGGCCATGGCCCCCGTCTGCTCCATGGCAGCCACTCAGAAGGTGCTGTGTGCTCACAGGCGGGCGACTTCACCAACCACAATGGCACAGGCGGGAAATCCATCTACGGAAGCCGCTTTCCTGACGAGAACTTCACACTGAAGCACGTGGGGCCGGGTGAGTGGGGGCTGCCTCTAGGGTGAGTGTCCCCACAGCTCTGACCTGGCCTGGAAGCCCCAGCAGGCCCTGAGAGGCCACATGCGGTCACCGCCCAGTATCTGATGAGGCCCTTCCTCCCTGCGGCACTGCAGGCCGTCTCAGCATTTCTGGCTTGTTGAGTTTCCCTAGAGTTTTCTCGTCTCTCAGTTTAAAAAGCAGGGTTTCCTTTTGGAACTTTGCGGAAGAACCTTTAAGCAGAATGGAGGCCTTGGCCACCTCCCTGTCTGTCCTCTGAGTTTCGGGTTGGAAATTCTAGGACACTTAGAATTGTTGCAGAATGGTCCGGGCATGGTGGCTCACGCCTATAATCTCAGCACTTTGGGAGGCTGAGGCGGGTGGATCACGAGGTCAGGAGATCAAGACCATCCTGGCTAACATAGTGAAACCCCGTCTCTACCAAAAACACAAAAATGAGCCGGGTGTGGTGGCGGGTGCCTGTAGTCCCAGCTACTCGGGAGGCTGAGACAGGAGATTGGCGTGAATCTGGGAGGCGGAGCTTGCAGTGAGCCGAGATCACGCCACTGCACTCCAGCTTGGGCGACAGAGCGAGACTCCATCTCAAAAAAAAAATTGTTGCAGAAAAAAAGAATTGTTGCAAGATTTAAAATCTTGCTTAGACAAAAAGCAAATTGTTTGGAAGCCAGGGTGGTTATTGTGGCAGCATCTTGTCACCTATAAGACCCAAAGTGGTAGGCGGAGAAGTCTGGAGGTCAGGGCCTGGGGTCCTGTCCTGGGTCCCGCCCCAGCCCTACCACTGAGAGCTTCCACAAGGCCCTGTCCTCTCACGGGTCCCGCCCCAGCCCTACCACTGAGAGCTTCCACAAGGCCCTGTCCTCTCAGGCCACCCCACTGAGAACTAGCGGACAGCAAAGGCAGACACACCCTGGGGGGCTGGTATCGGGCCCTGGTTCTCCTCTTCTGGGTCCCAGGATCTGCAGACTCGAATGTCCCTGGTGTGGTTTGTACCGTCTGCCCTTTCTAATGTCCTCCCCAGCAGGTGCCTCCAGGGGCAGGGTGGCTTAGCTCTGCTGGTTTTTGCAGGTGTCCTGTCCATGGCTAATGCTGGTCCTAACACCAATGGCTCCCAGTTCTTCATCTGCACCATAAAGACAGACTGGTGAGTTCCCTGCCCCAGGCCCTCTGGGAATGTGGGCAGCCTTGCAGCTGGAGGAGGATTTGTGCACTTTTAGGGGCAGGCAGTTTACAGCCAGGCCATCTGCTCTGGAACAGTGGCCCTCTCCCAGGCTGTGTGTTTGTATGAAAAAGAGAAAGTTAGTGGAAGGATCAAAGGAGAATCGCAGTTGTTCCTGCAATTCTGTCATGGTTTGGGTTCCCATTGTTGCTGTCATCTGGAATTTTCTCCGTGTATTCTGCTCACACGCACACACGAAAGGGTTTCTCTACCAGATACATCTGGGAAATGTTGCAAAACATTATGAGGCCTCAGGAGGGACTAAGTAGAAGCCCTCTTGTGTGGTTTTAACCTGGAGTTTCCCAGGCTTGTCTTGACCATGGGCTGAGCCTTGGCAATGCTGCAGCAGACATTTGGATATCAGCAGATTTCCAAATGAAGCCCCTGTATTATCATAAGCCTGCAGATAGCCACAGGCCTGTAAGGGCCCTGTTTTCAATGCCCATGGATTTTAGGGATGTCTCTTTCCTGGTACATTTTCCTCTAAGGGATAAATTTCTCTGGCCAGAGTCCCAAATGTCATAGCCCTGGGGCACCTGCTGATGAGCTGGCTGGGAGCTGACTTGGTAAAGCCCATTTCCAAGAATTTTAGGGAGACCTAGGTGGGGCGGACACTAGAAGTGTCCAGCCTCCAAGCCTAAGAGATGTGGCCGGCAGGGCTGGGCAGGTCCTTGCTGGCTCAGCCTGCTCTTTGCTCCTTCATGGGACCCCAGTGGATCCTGCAGTTCTGCTCTTGGCTGAAACCATGCCAGCTTCGCCGGAGCTGAACTGAGCCGCCTTTTACATTATTGGACTCTCTTGAGTTGAGAGCTGCCTAGGACTCTGCAGTTTCACCACCCTTGTTCCTTTGGCTCTTGACTCATCATTCATGACTGTTAACGTGGTTCCATTTGTCTGGACTTCTTCTTTCTTCAGAGCATTTCATTATCCTGTTACCTCCCTGTGCAGAACAAAGAATACTCCACTTTTAATAGATGGAGTTACCAGGATTCAGGCTACGTGACCTGAGGCAAGGTCACAACATGAGTGGCAGAATGTGTGCTGGAAGCCAGGCATTCTCTGGGGTGTATCTGGGGCGCTCAACAAGGCTTGATTGAGCTTTGGTGGTAGATCCAGGTATTACGTGGGGATTCCTTGCAGAATTGCTGTTTTCGGTAACTAATTCCATGACCGGGGCCATGGCATTGGATGACATTGCACTACACTGTTGCTCACCCGGGTCACCCGTCCTCACAGGTTGGATGGCAAGCATGTTGTGTTTGGTCACGTCAAAGAGGGCATGGACGTCGTGAAGAAAATAGAATCTTTCGGCTCTAAGAGTGGGAAGACATCCAAGAAGATTGTCATCACAGACTGTGGCCAGTTGAGCTAATCTGTGGCCAGGGTGCTGGGATGGTGGCAGCTGCAAATGTCTATGCACCCAGATGGCTGCCTTGGCTCTCAGCCAAGGTGCCCAAAATGATATCTGTGCCCACTCCACCATCATGGTGTGCCTGAGGAAGGCTGCTCAGGGATGTCGGACCTCGGCCAGGACCCACCACACTGCTTCCTAATACCCACCCTTCCTCACGACCTCATTTCTAGGCATCTTTGTGGACATGATGTCACCCACCCCTCGTCAAGCATTGCCTGTGATTGCCCAACCCAGATTCATCTGTGCCTTGGACATGGTGGTGGTGATGGGTTAGCATCCAAGTGAAGGTCTTTTCCTTGACCAAGGGGGACAGTCAGTTTTGCAAAAGGACTCTAATACCTGTTTAATGTTGTCTTCCTAATTGGGATAATTTAGTTAGCAAGATTGACTAGAAGTGAAGCTGCAACACTAACTTCCCCATGCTGTGGTGTGACCTGAGTTGGTGACACAGACCACAGACCCCAGAGCTTGGCTTTTGAAACACAACTCAGGGCTTTTGTGAAGGTTCCCTCAGCTGAGATCTTTCCTCCTGGTTACTGTGAAGCCCGCTGGTTTGCTGCTGTCATTTCTGAGGAGGGCCTATGGGGGTAGGAGCAGTTGAACCTGGGAACAAACCTCACTTGAGCTGTGCCTAGACAATGTGAATTCCTGTGTTGCTAACAGAAGTGGCCTGTAAGCTCCTGTGCTCTGGAGGGAAGCATTTCCTGATAGGCTTTGATTTTTCTGTGTGTTAAAGAAATTCAATCTACTGATGATGTATTATACATAAAACATTTCTGGAACATGTATTTGTGTTCACCTTAAATGTGAAAATAAATCCTATTTTCTATGAAAGACTGGTACCTGGTTTCTGGAAGAGGGATCTGTAACTTGGAGCTGATCTTTACTGAGCTTGCCGTGGCGGGTGCCATGCTCAGGACGTTCATGTGGACGGTTTCATGTCGTCATGCTGGCAACTTGTCCTCCCTGCCTTAGAAATGAGGCTCAGACAAGCGACCTTAGCACCCACAGCCTGTGCCATGAGCACTGGCTTCACCCTGAATCCCAGCTCCTCCCCTTAGTGACCCCGAGTCTCAGTTTCCCTCAGCTGCATAAGGAGGCAATATAGTTTGAATATTTGTCCCCAGCCAAATCTCATGTTGAACTGTAATCCCCGGTGCTGAAGGTGGGACATAGTGCGAGGTGTTTGGATCATGGGGACGGGTCTCTCATGGCTTGGTGCTGTTTCCTTGATAGTGAGTTATTGCAAGATCTGGTCATTTAAAGTGTGTGGCACCTCCCCCTGGCCCCCTCTTGCTCCTGCTTTCCCTATGTGACATGCCTAATCCCCCTTCACCTTGTGCCATGGTCATAAGCTTCCTGAGGCCTCCCTGGAAGCCAAGCAGGTGCCAGCACCATGCTTCCTGTACATCCTGCAGAACCATAAGCCAATTAAACCTCTTCAATAATAAATTACTCAGTCTTAAGATTTCTTTATAGCAATACAAGAATCCTAACACAGGGTAACAATAAGGCCCACCTCGTAGGGTGGTGATCCACTTGAAGTGCATAACACAGTGCATGGTGCATCTTCCTAAGCAGAGTGACAAGGATGATGACCTTTCCCCTGTCAGGGTCTTAGGAAAGAGGAGGGATGCCAGAGCAAAGGAACCTCCATCATCTGAGGTTAGGAGTGGACTTCCTAGGATAAGCCAGTTCCATTTGGAATTGACTTCTAGGTGTTTCTGAATTCACAGGGAAGGCAGGATTGGAGGTAAGAGCTTCGCTAGATAGACAGGGCCGTGGCGTGGTCAGGCAGTTGAGTGGTTGGTCAGGCAGGCATTCTCAGAGGAAATTTAGGCTCTTTTGGGAGCATCTAACAATTATTTCTCACTGGGGTTCCCTGAGTGAGGTTATGTGCAGTCTCAGGTTCATGGAGTTACTCTGAGGTCATGGTGGCTGGGGTCGGCTCATTTGGAGTCGTGGAGAGTTTCCGTGAAGTCAGTTTCAGTAGGACTAGTAGTCTTCAAACAATTATCAAGAGCCTTGGGGGTCCTCAAAGCAGACAAGGAGGACACAAGGAGCTTGGGCCCCGAACCCCATTTGCAGTCATAGATGCCCTCCATTTATGTTGGGGTTCTGCAAGGGATTTCATTTGAAGAATGGGATCTTGAGCCAAATCATAATTAGTAATTTCTCACCCAGTCCAATACTTTACAGATGGGTAAACTGAGACCCTAAGAGGGATTATGATTGCCCCATGTGACCCTGTGAGTCAACTGGCAAAACAGGGGCTAGAATCCAGGGTTTCTGGCAGTCTGCAGGGATTTCTGTTGGGGGCCTTCGAGAATGCACAGGTGCCTTCGGGGACATATTGCCAAAGGTCCTCAGGCCACACATTCAGAGCACAATTGATACCTGAGGTCAAAGCCCACAGCTTCACTCCCTCTGGAGTTTCCTCTTTGGGGTCTTATGTTTAGTCACTGTGTGTCCTTCTTGCTGAGGAGTGTGTGTGTGTGTGTGTTATCTCCACCCAGAGAAGTCTAAGGTGAGGTGAGGGTGCAGCAAACATGCAGGAATTTCCTAAAAACTGAGTTCCCTGAAAGCGGGGCCATTCCCTGTGCTTCTCATTCCCTGAGCTCCCTGCACAAAGGCCTGAGCCTAGTCATGTTTCTTGCATAAAGCAAGAACATAAGTAATATACAAATAAAATATTGGCTTGTTTCTGGCCAGTGAACACTCAATACCTCATGCATAAATGAGGCAGTGAGTCAGACGTGCACTCATAGATGTAATCATAAGTGGTGCCATGTACACGATTTTTAAAAAAATCTGAAACATCAATTTTATTTTCTGCGATGTGATAGCTTTTCAAAATGATTTCATTGAGGTATAATTTACATAGAATAAAACTTCAAGTGTACACATCAATGACTTTTGACAAAACTATATACTAGTAATAACTATCACCAAATTAAGATACTATCACCAAATTAAGAATGTTTCCATCTTTCCAGAAAGTTCTCTCCGTGCCCCTTCCCAGGCAGCCACTGGATTTTATCCCTGTAATTTTGCTCGTTCTAGAACTTTGTAGAAATGGTATCGAGCAGGGTTCACTTTCACGTCTGGCTTCTCCAGCGTGGCACGTGTGAGAATGTGTGAGACTCCAATATGCTTCTGGGTTCTAAAGGATCTTGCTCCATGAAAAGGAATAAAGCAATGCTTCTAGGGATCACAGAGTGCCAGTAAATCATGCAGATTTCTGGCCATACCTGAGACACCTTTTGAATATTTGCATCTAGGAATCTGAATTTTAAAATAATAATTCTGAGAGGTGAAACCAGCTGAACTTCCTGGGTCGAGTGGGGACTTGGGAAACTTTCCTGTCTTACAAGAGGATTGTAAAACACACCAATCAGCACTCTGTAAAACATACCAGTCAGTACTCCGTAAAATACACCAATCAGCGCTCTGTGAAACAGACCAATCAGCAGGATTCTAAAAGTAGCCAATCGTGGGGAGGATTGAAAAAAGGGCACTCTGATAGGACAGAAATGGAACATGGGCAGGGGCAAAAAAAGGGAATAAAACCTGGCCATCCCAGCCAGCAGCAGGGAAGCAGGTTGGGTCTCCTTTCACGTTGTGGAAGCTTTGTCCTTTTCCTCTTCACTGTAAACCTTGCTACTGCTCACGTGTGCCGTCTTTGAGAGTTGTAACAGTCGCCGCCAAGGTCCGTGGCTCCATTCTTGAAGTCAGCGAGACCATGAACCCACCGGCAGGAGCCAATTCCGGACACATTTCTACTAAAGCTTAAGAATTTGAGTGTAGCCACAGTGGCTAAGAGTGAAAGGGAAAGTCATGGCTCAACATTGGAATCATCGTTTACTTCTGGAAACATTTTTTACTGGACTTTCTGGGACTCAGAAGTGACACTCTCCACTTCTAAAAGAAGCCTCAGTTAAGGAGTCTGACCGACAAGTCTCGGATGACTGGGTGGGGCACATCCTATTCCACTCAAGCTCTGTAGGGGCCAGTGGGCAGGGGGGCTCCTCGATAGCGCTGGTGAAAGTGGCCAGTCAGGCATGGTGGCTCATGCCTGTAATCCCAGCCGCTTTGGGAAGCAGAGGTGAGTTGACTGCTTGAGCCCAGGGGTTCGAGACCAGCTTGGTCAACACAGTGAGACCTCATCTCTACAGAAATTTTTTTTTTTTAATTTTGCTGGGCTCAGTGACATGTGCCTGTGGTCCCAGCTACTCGGAAGGCTGAGGTAAGAGGATCACCTGAGCCCAGTAGGTCGAGGCTGCAGTGAGCCATGATTATGCCACTGGACTGCAGTCTGGGGGACAGAGCAACACACTGTCTCAAAAAAAGAAAAGAAAAAGTGGCTCCCCCTGCCTTGGCCTATGCAGGAGCCTATGAGGGAAGAAGCTCCTTGAGGGGTGGAGGCCCCAGCTCTTGTTTTGCCATCTAGGATGAGAGGCTGCCTTGGATGGGCCTCAGATGGAGAGCATTTCTCAGTGAGTGGATTGTGGAGGCCAGAAGTCAGCTCTGTGTCCAAGATTCCCCAGAACATGGCAGGTAAAGAAAGTCTTGGGTCCACTCTGCCTCCCAGATCACTCAGCCTGTAGAGGCTGTCCAGAATTATGCTGATAACATTACTGCTATTGTATCATATTGTGATAGTTAATTTTATGGCAGTTTTTTTTTTTTTTTTTTTTTGAGACGGGGTCTCAGTCTGTCATCCATGTTGGAGTGCAGTGGCACAATCATAGCTCGCTGTAACCTCGAACTCCTAGGCTCAAGCAATCCTCCCACCTCAGCACCCTGAGTAACTGGGAACTACAGGCACATGCCACCATGCTTGGCTATTTTTATTTTTTATTTTTTAAGATATGCAGGTCTTGCTATATATCCCAGGCCATTCTCAAACTCCTGGCCCCAAGTGGTCCTCCCACTTCAGATTCTCAAAATGTTGGGATTATAGGTGTGAGCCACCACACCCAGCCTTATGTGTGAGCCACCACACCTAGCCTTATGTGTCAACCTAACTGGGTCACAGAGTGCTTACACATTGGGTCAGACACTATGCTGGGTGTGTCTGTGAGGGTGTTTCTGTCTGAGATTAATATTTGCATAGCTAGACCTAGTAAAGCAGGTGGTTCTCCCTAGTGTGGGTGGACCTCATCTAGTCAACTGAAGACCTGAATAGAACAAAAGGCTAAGAGGGAACGCCTCCTGCCTGACGGCCCTGAACTGGAACATTGGTATTTTCTGCCTTTGGACTCAAACTGAAATGTTGGCTGTCTCAGGGTCTTGAGCCTGCCAGCCTTCAGACTGAAACCTACTTTGGCTCTTCTGGTTCTCAGGCCTTCAGACTCGGACTGGACCTACACCATTGACTCTCCTGGGTCTCCAGCCCGCCAACTGCAGATTGTGGGCCTTCTCAGCCCCATGACCACTTAAGCCAATTCCTTATATTTTTATATCATATATATCCTGTGTATATGGTATAAATATATACACACACGCACACACATGTGTATTCTATTGATTCTGTTTCTCTTACACATATTGTCTTTTTTCTATTTATAAAACCAAAATGCACATATGAAAATTCAAATGTTACATAATTATATAGAGAATTAGCATTGCCTACAATCCTATTACAGTAATAGTTGGTATAGGTTTCTGCATTTGCGTAGCTGCAAAGACCAACACTCCTTTCCTAACAATGAGAAGAAGCTGAATAAACTACAAAATCGTAACTTTTCTTGAGCTCACCAGAAAGGCAAACAACCTGTTTCAAAGAGGAACAAAGCAACCAGTGGCGGTGGCTCACGCCTGTAATCCCAGCACTTTGGGAGGCCAAGATGGGCGAATCACCTGAGGTCAGGAGTTGGAGACTAGCCTGGCCAATGTGGTGAAACCCCGTCTCTACTAAAAATAAGTTAAAAAAACAGCCGGGCATGGTGGTGCATGCCTGTAATCCCAGCTACTTGGGAGGCTGAGGCGGAGAATCACTTGAACCTGGGAGGTGGAGGTTGCAATGAGCCAAGATAGCACCACTGCACTGCAGCCTGGGCAACAGAGTGAGACTCCATCTCAAAAAAAAAAAAAAAAAAAGGGCGGAACGAGGCCCTGCAAGGTAAGACAGGACACACAGACTGTTTCACCTGTGGCAGAGCACTGTAGTAAGATATGACCACGAAACAACTGTGTAAAATAAAATTAGGTAACCTCTTAATGAATTGCTAAAGGCCAGGAGGGGGCTAATGTTTCTGTTTGGAGTAGCTGGAGACCCCCGATACAAAGGGAGTTCAACATCTTTCTCCAGGCTCCCACCAGATGCACAGAAGACCTAAGAGGGAGCCCGACTTGGTGGTTTAGGTCTGTAGGAGGGGACCTTCAGCTGCTGGAGAAAGGTATGGAGCCTTGTCCACTTCCTCAGATTCTTCTCTCCTATGAAGTAAATT